TTACCCCACAGGATGCAGAAGGCTGGCTGATAATTCTTGAAGGGAAGCTGAGGTTCATGACACATTTTCAGGTTTTGAGTGCGTGGTTTAGAGTTTGGGACTCGGGGAATCATTCGGGGGACGCGCTTGGCACCCAGACGCCCACCTTGAACCGTATGATCCCTCGCCTCGCCCTCTTCGGGTTTAGGGTTTCCTTGATCTCTGCTCACCGTCCTGTCTTCCTGATTGCTTTCTGCACCTGTCTAGGCCAGGCGGGTGCAAGGTTCGGGTTGGGTCTGGCAACTAGTACCAGGACCTGTCTAGACAAGTAATAAGGTAGGTGCACGGTTTGGGCTGGGTCTGGTTCGAGGCTTGCAGTTTTCTTCAGATTGAGCTTCGAGCGACTTGGACCTGTCTAGACCTGGCGGGTGCAAGGTTTGGGTTGCTTCGAGGTGGAAGGGCCTGAGGTTCTCAAGGCCTTGAGAGTGCTTGGGAGAGGCGCGCAGGCTGGGAGACGCGGGGTTGGGAAGGCGTTGACTAGAGGCCTTAGGATCTGATTGAAAAAAAGCTTCACCACAATTCCTCATTCCAGAAGCCCCAAACTTTCAATTGTCCTTACCCTGATCCGCTAATTTCTAAATCCCCTAGATAGATGCGCGCTATCAAATCAGGGCGTACCCGGCGAGCATCATGAGCATCAGCTGGACCCTTTTGATCAAATCAGGGCGTACCCGGCGAGCATCGTGAGCATCAGCTGGACGCAGCTGGGCCCTTTTGATCAAATCAGGGCGTATGCGGCCAGCATCATGAGCATCAGCTGGACCCTTTTGACCGGCGAACATCATGAGCATCAGCTGGACCCTTCTGATATGGAGCCAAGATGTGTGGGGACTGCTAGCAATAAATGACGTAAAGTATCATGGAAATATCAGATAACTCCCAAACCAACATGGAACACCACAGGTATACAAGCGGTGCTGAAGACTTGGAGGAGCAGCCGCAGGCATCCAGGGAAATATGTTCCTTTGGGGATTTGAGGCTTGTTCGGGGAGATGGATTGGAGTCGAGGGTCTCTAGGGTCAAGGTTCCCGGCATGACCACTTCCATCCTTCCGTATCGAAGTTTTGCCTCCCAAAAAGTCTGCATCATGAAGGTCGCAATCGATTGCTTGGGATTCAAAGCTTGAGGCCTAGTTACTCCATTACTGGTGCACATGCTGGATATCAGGTCGTTGACCGTCAAGTTTACTTGCTCTTTTTGTTTTTGGTCACTCATACAATCTCTAAACCAAAAGCAGGGATGAGAGAGTTAAGGGTTTTGGGTTGGGGGTGTTCAGTATCCAAATGGTATTTCCAGCAAGGTTGCGTATGGTATTGATGGGTCATGCGGAACTTGATGAAAGCTGGAGGGCCGTGTCTGGAGTGATAGTAAAGGCTGGATAGCTGCGAATATTAGCAACGACAAAGACGGCATTCAGGAAAAGGCATATATAAACACCGCAGGCCGGAACAGGATGTGGGGGGGACCATGTTAAGAAAGCAACTTGAGACTTACTTCCTAGCAGGTTGGCTTCAGGCTTCACCAGGTGAGCATACAGGTCAAGCCCTCGTTGGTGGTCGTGGACGAAAACATTGTTGTATAATATGGACTTCGTCCCATGCTTGTCAGAGTTCGTAGGAGTTTTTGTTTCGAGGATTGTTTTTTTTTGGTATCTTTTGGCGAAGTTGTTTCAAACATGTGTTGCTTGACGCCGGCAAGTTTCGTGTACTCTTTTGAGACGTGCATGGATTTTGCGTGTTGTATCAGGTCTCATTGTTTCGCAAGGTTTCGCTTTTGGTGCTACGTTGACCAGTTTTTTTCAGCATGTCACGAGGTTAGTGGCCGAAGTTCGCGCATTAACCCGTTCTCAAGCACAGGTCAGTTCATTTGCAGATTCTTGGTTGGCATTGCGGTGGGATTGGGCTAGAGAAGTGTGCTTGCGACACTTTATCCTCTTTAATTGCATTCAGTTTTGCATATGGATTATATGAACTGCAGCTGCTGACCCTGCAACGTCTCCTTACTTTTCAGTTTTGTGTGTAGTTTGTGTGTTTGTGTGGGACCTCCGAAATTCCAAGGATTCTTTAGTGTAACCAACTCAGCTTGTTCGACAAAGTACCAGCAGGGGGACCATCCATTTGCTGTGCGCGCTGGTCCAACGAAGCGGCCACAGCAAATGCGGATATCAGGGCTGATCACCCTGACGTACCTGCAGATGACAATGTTCTCCTCTCTTACTATGCTGCATAGTTCCGGATTGCTGATGCTCTCACTAGTGCCTTGTAGTTATTCTAGAACTAGTTTGGAGATGTGCAAACATGCCAGTTTGGAATTGTCCAAGCGTGATTGGAAACCAGGGCAGCATTAGACATGTGCATCACTTGGTCTCAATTCAGGATAAGAAAGATGTAAGTACTCATGGTATTTCATAACAGGCTGAGACTTCCAACAAACCTTTTGAATACTGCATTGATGCAGATGGGAGCTGAGACTCCTTCAACTCAACTTTGTTGGGTTGAAAACCTTTCAAGTGTGTCGATTGGGCATGGCATTCCCTCGTGGCGCCATTACCGCGGACTGTGATGCCGTATTATTGACTGCGCCTTCGGGAGGACCAGCCTGAGAGGCTATGTTGTTGAGGGGCCCTGTCAAAAAGAACCCAAACAGCAAACGTTGAGTCTTGACCGTCCGAAATGGACAAGTTGAGGACCTGATGCATCAGCTCACGGCTGGCTTCTTGGTTGAGAGCACTGTTAAAGACCCCATGAGAGGTTCATCATTTAATTACATTCATTTCATCAAGGACCCTAATTTTTGTTGGCTATTAGGTAACTTTTCTGCTTTGGGTCTTTGTTCTGTTGTTTTCCTTTTGTTAGTTAATTCGAAAGCCTGTCAACCAGCCATGGACTTCACTCTGACAATTCGAAATGCGAGCTCTCGAGATATTCAGCAACTGTTGAATCTGGGACAACGAAGGCCCAGAAGAGAAGTTGACCGTTCTGGCAGGTCTCCGCTGCGGAGACCCCACATACAAATCCTGAGTCATAGACAACAAGATGCTTTGCGGAATATTCCAGGAGATACTGAAGATGATGATATTTCAGCAAGAGAACCACGCCGTGCGCATCACTCACCTTTGCCAAGAGAAGACCCAGATCAGCACCTCATCAAGAAGAAGTCTATCAAGGAACCAGCGCCAAACACAAAGCACGACCGTCTTCAGCTCTTCCCAGAGTTTCAAGAACTTCCAGGTCCGCTAGACAAGACCCAGAACACAGACATGATGCCCTTGGAGCGGGCGATGCAGAGCTGGAGGAAGATTTGGGTATTTGGAACGAGAGACCCCGCAGCAGATCGCAACGCCCACAGATGGTACGCGGCGGTCACAGAACAAGTCGGTCACCATCAAGACCCCGCAGAGACAGGTCCACACCCTCAAGACCCCGCAGAGACAGGTCCCGAAGTGAAAGACCATCCTCAGCACACAGGAATAGACGGGAACCTTCAGTGGAGCAGCGCATGGAGGAAGAGGCCAATTTACAGAGGAGACAAAGACAGATGCCAAGCACCCTTGTTGACACTGATGTTAGTATGCCTGAAAATTTGGATCAATTTCAAATTGATTGGCCCAGCCTTCAAGTTCAAAGGTTTGAAATCCCCAACCAATCCCAGCAGTATCTCCAAGCTATTGCCTGTGCTTGCAGATTTAGTGTGCAGCATGGTATTTTATTGGAGCATGACTATGAGTCGGATCGAGGCTTGTGTCCATGGGACAATCCTGACCCCCAACACCTCCACCGCTATTATTTGCTGACTTCACAGGACCTGACAGTCAAGGACGCCCCACTGCCCAGCAAAGAAAATCAGATGCTATTCTGGGCACACGCTACAACAGGTGGTGGCATGCACTCTATTCTGAAGTTTCGCAACATGGCTCCGATGGAGGCACATTTGGTGCCTGACAACAATACATTCTATGCCATAGGCCATCCAATGTATGGTGGAACTGAGGATGATTGGTCCATTGCAAGAGTCATCCACAACGCTGCAGCATCGGCAAAGGACGTCTCGCAGGTCATCGTATGTGGCACTGCGTGGGGATCTCTTCGGAAGATTTCCGGGGGATCATGGGTGACGTCGGTCAAGGCAACAGAAGACGACCAAGTTTACCGGGACAAGAATGGCAAGGCATACGTCATATCGCGCAACCGATATAATATTGCAGGGGTTGCTTATTCTACCAACATGACTCCTCCAACCACTGCTGCTACATTGTTGCAAGAGTATGCCAGAGCCTCCGGACGAGTAATTGCAAGATCATCGAGAGCCGCAGCGGCTGTGCTCAATCGCTGAAAGATGTATTAAATGGGCGCATTGCATCGCAGGAGTTCGATGCAGTACATTATTATTCTGCAACTTGGATGCTGCCTTGTGCCATCCAACAATCCCTTCAGATTCAGCAAGCAGTTCAGGTCAAGAGAAAACAAGATGCAGTCTCTGTTGCAAGCATTTTACGTGTCACCTTGAAGTTTGCAACTTGTGCACTTGAGCCTTCGAAACCAAACATGTTTGTCTCTTGTGTTTTTGGTTCCAGATTGACTCAACTTTCTGTTGTGAAACTTTCCGTTAATTCTGGAACCCTGCTTGTTGCACGCCTACAACATGTCGGAGCCATGGAACGCACAGTCATGGGCCAACAGCGGATGGCAGCAGTCAGGTTGGGAAGATTCTGGCAATCAGTGGTTTGAGGCAGACAACGGGTATGGATATAACAACCGTCAGTCGACCCTTGGCAAAAGCCAGAGCGATGCAGAGTTTCAAGCCAAGCAAGAACTACTTGGATGAAACGCTGGTCTACATACAGAAGCACACTCAAACGCTACATTGAGCCATCAGCATGGTCCAGAGCCAAGGGTATTGCAGGCAAACCTGTGCAAGACATAAAATTGACAGATCTCACTCACAAAGATATACAAGAGTGGATGATCAGAGGTCTCAGTCATGGGAAGTTTACAGGAGTCGTCCTCACCAAGTCCATTGCAGAGAGCGTGTTGACAGCGCGGTTGCTGTCAGCCTTACGCGAAAAACGCGTGGACATAGATGAGACTGTCAAGGCCATGCGCAAAGGGAAGGACAAGACCAAACAGGCAATTCCAGACAAAACAAGCGAAGCAACCAAGTTTATTCAGCCTTTGGTCGACGCCGTCGTGCATAACCTACAGCCGTTCCTTGTTACCATGGACCAAACAGCTACAAGCTCAGGTGACACCAAGGAATTCCAGGACACGCAGCACGACAATGCCAAACTCCGACAGAAGCTACAGCAAGCAGGTATTCCAATCACTCCGGTGAAGCGCAAGACTGTGCAAAAGGACACGGAGCAGGCTTTGTCAAGCCCGGACGATGAGGATCCCAACGAGTCGCTGCCAGTACAACCTCAGGTCCCAAAGAAGAGAAAGATCAACAATGAAGGCAAGAGCAATCCGACATCCTCAATGACCCCACAGATGTATTGTCGGATAAGCTTCCCTTCAACATCGAGGACACCAAGGCGTGGGTGTCCAATATTCGCAAGGACCTCAGCGCAACACAGCATAAGCAGTTTGACACCCATGTCAACAAGATGCTAAAAATCATTGAGGACAAGAAGTTCAAGCAGGATGAGCTGCAGACCATGGCCACAAGATTTGGCCTTCTACTCCACATGGTCAGCGCAGCCACCCCCAAGAACTTACAAAGCGTCATCGCAGTGGCTACATGGTAAAGCCTGTGATTGATCCAGAAGATGCTCAACAACCCCGGCATTTTGCTGAGGTTACAGACGCTGTGGATGAGCTCCAGACAGTGATGCAGTTCTTCCAGTTTGTTATTATTGAAATTCCTAATGTCAGTAAGGAAGCTGTGATGTGGTTAGTTGGGTTAATTTTCTGGTTTTTCTTTTTCACCATTCTACTCCAACAGCAACTGCGAAAGAGCTTCGAGTGAAGTTGAAGCAAAAAGGTTGCATTCCTGAACTCTATACTTTCTCTAGGTTCCAAAGAGAGAATGCTGTTCATGCAAAAGTTATGCTTCCCACGTTCAAGAACAATTTCGCGCAGTTTCATTCCAAGCAGCCCATCATCTACATAGGATCTACAAGGCTCAAACCAGCGCAGCGAGACTTCAATCGATTGGCGACAACACGACAGTTGCAGAACGGTGCGTTGCCAAAAGTGGAGGTGGCTATCAGATATTGGGTGGACAATGCCAAAAATGGTCGGTTCATTACCTTGGCGCTTAGCAGTCACAGTGGGTACCGTGATGCATGGGCTGCAGAACATGCTACAATCCAGGCATGGCAGGCTCGTCTGAGTCATCCATTCATCGCTAAGTTCTTGGTAAAGAAGGCCCATGGACTTGTACCAGCCAAACAGAGACCATCGATGCAACCTGGCAATGACACGTTAGGCAATAAACTTTTCCAAAAGATGCGGCGCAGACTGCATCATCAACGTTCTCCAGAAGTTCGACTTCTACCTCAACTACCTCAACTTTGGGAGTTCCTTTATGACTCGTCTTCGGACACACTCAAAGAATTTGAAGCAAGCAAGATTCTTCGCAGTGGCAAGTATCCATGAGAAATTGGATTGCTTCTATTCAGGCTTGCAAACCATTTGGAACAACCTTGGAGGTCCAAGTGTACAGCAAGGCTCAAACTGATTCTTCAGTTCAGGAATCAATCTATTCCCAAGAAGAACCGCCCCCTGAAGATGACATTCCTTGCTCATGAAGGATTTCGAGTTCAACTTCGACATTTCTTGCAACAAGAAGTACAGCGAGCACAACCTGTATTGATTCCATATCATCTTCCAACAGCAAAACCCGTGGAAGCACCGCCGACCAAGGTCATTCGACTACTTTGGAGCAATGTCAAAAACTTGCCATCACCGTCCAGCACATGTTCATGCGCAGAATTTCTTGGCAAACATCCCAATTCGGACAGTATTGATGGGCATGTTGTGACTGGACTGGAAACATTAACCTTGCCATATCACCTTCAACACTTTCAGGACATGTGTGGAGCCAATGCATACTTTGACAACAAGGCCAAGTTCATGGAGTGGTCCATTCAAGCAATGGACAGGTGGATGGAACATCATCAATTTCCAAAGTATACAGGAATGAAACAAAGATTCCGGCGATTCTTGAACAATCAATGACAACAACACATACAGTCGCTCAAGCAGAACCCAAGATACACACTTGTTGGAATAAAATACCTGGAGCATCTTATTCCTTCAGATTTGGTGGTGCGCAATGAAGACCACGCCAATAACCATATTATGGTATACTGCTCCCAGTCGTATAACCGTGCTGCCGTTGATTCGTGGTCAGATCCCCGGAGTATTCACAGAGTTACAAGAAAGCCCGCAACAACTCAAGCTTGCAGTGCAGAAACACATTCCAGCTTCCCTTACAAAGCAACAGCTCAGGTTGGTCGACTTCAGCAAGGATCTCCCCTACGGCTACATCATGATGAAGCACAAGAAGCAATGGAGTAAGGGAGGAACAATCGTGGCATATGGTTCTACTTGCGTTGGTAAGCTTCTCAAACTTGCTGCTCTTGCAATCCAAGAGTTGTTGAATTCCACTTGGCCTCGTCACTTTGGTAGTCGACTTACTCCGGGCGTTTGGAGGGATATTCATCAGTTCATTGAGACCGCTGCGTCGGACGATCACTTTTTGTTTCTCAATCACGATTTGGTTGGATTCTTCAACTCTATTCCTCAGAGCACAATTCTTTCTTCACTTCAGCTTTTGATTCAGGACTTTCTTGATTCTGGTGGCGGTAAATCCCTTATGGTTGAAATGTACTCCAAAATTGGGCCTGCGCATGCAGGAAAATACCGATTCAGTGTCAAGGCAAATCAGGTAGAGCTCAAAATGAACCAGTCGATGGACATTATTCGGTTTTCTTCTTCTTCGGGATGCTTCACCACTCTTGGAAAGTGTTTTCGGCAAGTACAAGGAACGTCTATGGGGAATCAAGTCAGCCCCATCTTTCCGTCTCTTTCCATCGTAGCTTATGAACGAGCTTGGCTGCGCAATCACAAATCATTGCTTGCAAGATATCCTACGCAGCTGCTTGTCTTACGGTATGTGGACAATCGTGCAATTTTTAGTCATGAAGATCTACTTCAGTGTCCCGGACTTCAAAACTTCGCCAGTCTTGATTTTTACCCCAAACCTATTCAACTGCAAGATGAACAACACAATGAGTTCCTTGGGTTCCATATCAATGCTTCTTGTCGAGAGGTCAGATATCTGATCAAACCTGAAACATGGAGATATCGCTTGCCATGCTCCGCGGGTAGCCACCAGCTCAATATGTCGGGATTCAGATCAAGACGACAGCTCATTCTCAAGTTTGCCTTTCCTTTCCCATGTCAGTTAAAAGCCAGCAGCTCGAAGAACTTTGTCAACTGTACAGCAATCTGGAATTTGATGTCACGTGCCATTGAAAATTGAGTGAAATTGTCGCCTCTTGCTTTGACTGCAAATTGTTTCGCTTTAATCCCTGCAGTGTTCTTTTGTGTTTTGAATTATAGTTGGCTCTCAGGTTATCTTTGTTAGAATAGTACAGGCCAGGAACGCCATGAAAAAGGTGTCTTCTTCAGGGCATAAGCAGTCAGAAGCGGCTCCGTCCAGCACAGACCGTCCAGACAGATCGAGCGCCGTCTCTATGCTAGAGATTCTCAGAGATGATTCGGCACACAGACAAATGCTTGAGGCTGGCTCGGAACTGATGCTGCAACAGCATTTGGCATACAATGGATATCTTACAACCAGCGAGCAGACGAGATGGAAGAACACCATTACCAATTCTCTGGCAGATAAATCATACAACGATGTATCCAGATATCTGCTTGACAAACTCCGAGAGCCCCTTAGATCCAAAATGATCAAACATATTTGGGACAATCCGTGAACCTTTGCGCGCTGCAAAAGAGTGCATATGCATCGTGGAAAGTACGTGCAAGTGGTTGCGCATGCAGTTCCAAGCTACCTCTTGACGATCTCTTGTGCGCATCGTGTTGTGTGTTGTTTAAGTGTTAATCGGTTGCTAGGTTGGTTCAAGCAAGCAGGGTCGAGCAATTTTCGTTTTTAGTCCTTAACTTGAGCACGATGCTTGGGGAGCAGTTCTATGTTTGGTTGCGTCAAGCCACAGACGAAGACTTGCAGCGAGCAAGGGACGCTATTCAATTTGAGATGGAGCTGAGGGAGAACCAATTGAGAACAGAGCGTGAAAGACTGTGGCGAACATTTCCACTCCCATGCATTCATACATGCCAGCATGAAGGATGTCAGCGACTTTGCGGTCACAAGTCCAATCATCCAGACAAGGAACTGCAGCATCAGGCCTCAGGACGACACTACTGTGAGCTACATTATCACAGCAATTGATCGACAACATTCGCCTGCCTGAAACAAAAGGAGACGTGAAGGGTTCTATTCTATTCTATTCTTTTCTTTTCTTTCCCTTCTTTTTGGTTCTTTGGTTGTCCTTAAGTAGGCACCCGCTTTGCGGGATGGTGTGTGTGGGACCTCCGAAATTCCAAGGATTCTTTAGTGTAACCTACTCAGCTTGTTCGACAAAGTACCAGCAGGGGGACCATCCATTTGCTGTGCGCGATGGTCCAACGAAGCGGCCACAGCAAATGCGGATATCAGGGCTGATCACCCTGACGTACCTGCAGATGACAATGTTCTCCTCTCTTACTATGCTGTATAGTTCCGGGTTGTTGATGCTCTCACTAGTGCCTTGTAATTATTCTAGAACTAGTTTGGAGATGCTGATGGGAGCTGAGACTCCTTCAACTCAACTTTGTTGGGTTGAAAACCTTTCAAATGTGTGTGTGGGTGGGTGTGGTACACTTGCGTACGTCAGAATTGCATGTGCCGTACACTCCAAGCTCTCGCTTTGTCAACAGAAACCACTGTTTCTGTTTGGTTTGGGTAGGCTTTGTTTGCCGGCTTGCTGTGTGTTTGTCTTCTTTCTGTCTTGCGTGCCGTGGACGCTGCGGGTCCGTAGAGCAGCCTCCCGGCCGCCGCTGGGATCTGGCTCCAGCAACCCAGGTGTGCGTTGTGTGAGTGTATCTTGTTGTTCAGGAAGTGTGGCGAACCCATTAGTCCGCTGTGCTTCGGCTGTGCTGCCTGGAATCCGCTGGGTAGCTGAGAGGGAGTACGTGGCTATGGACAGTGAAGAGAGTGCTCGTAAAGCTCCGCGGGTGGCAGGAAACATGCTATGTAGTCCTGGGCGTGGTGTTACAGAGAGTGTGTCATTGCGTGATCTTGAAGATGATTCTAGAGAAAAATTTTGCAAGTTATGGGCAACTGTTGCTCGTGGTTGCTTGAGATGGAGCTCCTTCGGTTGTGAGAAGATTAAAGATGGCCACCTGGTTCCACACTGCGCAGGCGTCTGGGTGGCTGGAAACGATGAATGGAATATTGCCTGCCGCTGGGGTGGCCGGTGGGCTCCCCCACTTTAGAACAGTTGCTGGACTTTTTGAAGCTCTTGCTAGTGGTGCTTGTGTGGATCGCGGCAAAGGCAGGCTTGCAAAGGGCATGGGCGTGTCATCGGCAATGAAGTTTGCGTCGTGGAAGCTTGAAATGTCGGAGTTAAGAAAGCTTTTGGATTCCACTCTGGCTAGGGCTTGGTCGTTTTCTGAGCAACGCATGCGGCTTTCGAATCTTCAGACTTTGCCACATTTAAAAATGTTTCATGTCGTCCCGCACTGGCGCCTGCTTTTCGCTTGCCACAAGTGGAACGGTTGAACTTGGAGCATTAGCGTATTCTCAAACACGCGTCGGCTCATTTTTTGATGTTGGCATTGCGTCGGCTTGAGTGTGCCGCCTGTATAGTGTGCCAAGAGCACGAATATCCCCTCCCTCCCCCCCAGCCTCCCATTTCGCCGAACCAACGGAAGCGGCCGCAGCGCTTGAGGTCCAGTTTGCCCCCAAGGCCGCGATAATGCTAGCGTGAGCATTAAGCAAGCCGGTATGGATTTGAGTGCTAGATGCTTCGTGTACTTCCCGCCATGCTCAAATAATTATTGAAGCAACAAACAATGTTAGGAAATCCTCCCCGTAGGCCTTTTCAAACTCGGCGCAACTTCCTTAAAGCAACCGAGCGATGAGAAAATCATTTACCGTCGCAAAGACGAAAGCCTCACCCAAAACCATGGTGAGCTTGCACAGCTACTGGAAGTTGGTGGGGGCTACGACAGTAGCCTCTGAATGTGAGCCTGAAAAACGTTCCCATAACCCGTTCCTTCGTTTCCTATCAGCCATGAATGTGTGATGATGCTCATGATGCTGGCCGTGCAGGGAGGGGCTTTCGAATGCTTATGATTTTGACCGGGCTTTGGAACTTGGGTGCAGGAGGGGTCAGCACGCTTTGGAAGATCGACGCAGGATGACGCAGGAAGGTCTAGATGAGGCTCCTGAGTCTGGGCGGCCAGCGGATGCTCATGATGCTTGCCGGCGCTGGAAGATTGGCGCAGGGAAGGTTAACGGTTAGATGAGGCTCATGATGCTGGCCGGGCATTGGAAGTTGATGCTCATGAATCCAAGATGTGGTTGTTTGATGCAGGGAGAGATCTATGATCGCAGTCGGTCTATGTCAATTTTCTTCCGTAGTCTTGCTTCTTTGATTCTGAGGGGTCTGCGGTATATACTTTGATGGCGACATGATATTTCAAGCAGCCTCAGCAGAATCGCAGAGGGACATAGCTTGGGACTCGGCTCTGCGTGCTGTTTCGTACGGCTCTGAAGACCTACAAAATGCCCATTTGCAAGCTGCCGTACAGGGGCCTCAGAGATTTGAGATTTCTGTCACAGGAGGACGCAGCGTTGCCGATGTTGTTATAGGCCGGGAAGAGAAACGGGAAGAACTTAACTAAAGGCGAGACGTCATGCAGGGGCTGGAAACTCCGTGGCCTGGAGCTCCATCAGCCGTTGTTTTTGCGCTCACATGTGGGGAAGGCTGCCTTATTTGGCCCCAGAATTATGGAGGAGAAATAGGAAGAAACGAAGGCGCGGCGTCATGCAGGGGCCGGGCGCCCCTGTGCGCGCATGGCTTGGGACCCCATCTGTAATTTGTCTTCTGTGCGTGCGCTTGGAGAAGGCTGCCTGACAGGGAGACGGGCGTGCGCAATGTTCAATCTGGATGAGGGGGGCCTCCCCCGAGTTTGCTTGAAAAGCCGGAAATAGCACTTATTCTTATTTCAGGCCCACCTTCTGACCAGGTTTCGCAAGTTTGCTGCAGGGAGGACAGAGTTTGGTGGGTTGCTGGTTCCTTGGTGTCAGCCAAAATATTTTCTTCAAAATAAGTTGTAAATACACGCAGTTTGGTAGTACAAAGTAGGTAGTTTGATGCCTGTGGTTTCACGCATGCTCC